AAAGATTGAGATACTTTTCTCAGATGAAAACAGCCTAAGAGACAATATGGCTTAAGAGACTGAGGCCAGCCTTAAGGTCAGGGAAGACCTGAGTACAAGTCTTACTTCTGATATACTACTGCCTCTGTGACCAGAGATAGGCAAATCACTTAAATTGTCACCTCAATCAATAAACATTTATTAAGCACCTATTATGTGCCAGGCACTAGGCTAAGCACGGGGGATACAAAAAGAGGCAAAAAACATTCCCTGCCTTCAAGGAGCTTACAATCTAAGTTTCTCAGCTACCTCTAAAACTATTCATTAGAGACCAATTTCCACTCTAGTATATCCACATTAGGATTTCCCCACACCACTGAAATTATAGGAGGTCTGTGCCTCGGCTCACAAGACGGAGACAGATGAAAATAATCACTGCTAAAGCAAAGTAAGTCTGAAAAAGGCTGAAAAAAGAGTCTAAATAATACTGTGGGAAAATGAGTTTCCCTACCATAAACCTGGCTTTGAAGTCTGGAAAGGCTCACATAAAGATCCACTGGTGAAACTTCTCTCAGTTTAAGTTCCAAGTTTTGAGAATTCTAGACTGTATGAGCCATAGGGAAATGCCTTAAACATCATTGTCTCAATAGCAGGTATCAAGAAGGTAGGAAGACTTGGGTTCAAAGCTCCCCTAAGATATTTCCCTGGGTAGGTGATAACATCTCTTGGTGTCAGTTTCCTCTTCTGTGAAATGGGAACAATGATATCTTTAGTATTTACCTCAAAGGGTTGTGGTGAGATCAATTAGCTAATGTACATAAAGTGTTTTGTATACCTTAGAGCACTATGTAAGTATCAGGTATTACTAACATTATCATTGTTAATAAATATTTCTTAAATTAATTTTGACAGGTGTGAAACTTGAGGCCCAGAAGGGTTATATGACTTCAATTCAACAAGCAAAAAATAAATGTCTACTGTGTGCCAGGCACCTTCCCCTGTATCAGGGAAACAAAGACAAGTCTTTGCCTTCAAGGAGCTTACACTGACTACAGGAAACAGCACATAAGATAAGTAACACAGATAAGTAACTACAATATTACATAGCTTGTTCATGGCAGAGCCAAGACTGAAAACCTATTCTCTTGATTCCTAATCCAGAGAACTTTCCAGCCCTCCACACTAACTTCCCCTGTCTATGTGGATTTATGTATTACAGGCAGGGGTTGTGCTGGAATCAGCCAACTGTTCATCTTTTAGTGTGAGCATTTATATCTCGAATACAGGCGAATCCTACAAATCAGAGCTCAAATTATGGCTTTTTAAAAATTGTCCAGATTTAAGATACTGATGGAAAAATGTAAAAAATGCTGATTAACCTTAAAAGTGTGCTGCACATAATTCCCCCCCCCCAGGAGTTTTAGACATTGTCCAGCACAGCACTGGTTACATCCTGACCAGTGGCTCTTATTCACACAGTCACACGGATTGGGCCAACAGACCTTGTATCTGGACATCAATTGTTGCATCTGGAAGCTGAAGAGAGTTTGGAGAAGCACTAAAGAAAGAACTACTTAATGTGTAATATTGTTTATAATTACTCAATATGTTGGTGTTACCCTTTAAATGCATTGCCACCTTTTAGCAGTTCTTATGACCATAGCATTGACTTGCTTTGTAAGTGTTTTTTTTTGGGGGGGGGTGCGTCTTACATTGTCATCACATGTTAAGTTTTCCTAACTTAAAGAATTTGGGAAGAAAATTACTACAGACTGGCTCCATGTTTAACAAATTTAATTATGATATTTTGCTAAGCCTCAGTGATGATGCTACCAGAGCAAGAAGTAAGACCTTATACAAAAGTAATGATTAATCTAGTTTTACGAAGGCATATGAGAAATTCAGTACCTCTTCCTTCAAAAAAGTATAAATTGTCCTGAATTATAATCAAGACTTTGTGATTAAAGAAATATAGAAGCATGAGATTTATAGCATTAGAGGCACCCTTTCCATAACTGATGGATGGCCAAGTACTGCACTGGTACCCACAGAAAACAAAGACAGAGAGAAGACCTCCAGGGCAGTGGGTGGGTCCTCTGTGGAGGAGCAATGAGAGAAAAGGCACAAGAATGGCACAAGATGAGAAAATTTGAATAGGTTGTGATCTGAGCTGATGGAGGTAGTAACCACATCGATGAGATCATAGAACCATTGAAGCAATGAAGTATAAAGACATAATTAGCATAATGTGCAAATATTTCATCAGAGGGAGTAAAGCAGCAAGGCTTTGTCTAGGTTTTCCTTGAACCTGGATTTACCTTACTTAACAAGTTAAACCCATTGATGGGACTTTCATGATGGCAGATTGCTATTCTAAAATCCTTTTACTAGAGTTGAAACGACCATTTAAATTAGGTAACAGCCATGTCAATTTCATAGATGATTGAAGATATGTGGAGTTTTAGTAAGTGGTCATAAAAAGCACATGTGTGTTTGTATGTGTTATATTAATATATAATGTTATTCTCTCATATAACTACTATGTAATAAAATTATATATAATATTGCTATTTCCCCTTCTTCCTTCCTATTTACATCTTAGCCATAATCCTTTTTTTTTTAAAGGGCTGGGGAAGTACCTTACCAATTATTTCATCACTGTGATGCCCAGCATAGAAACTTCCTCCACCTATGCAAACCAGGAACTCATCTGTGACTTAAACTATTATAGAAATGCCAGGGACACCGAAATGTTAAGTAACTTGCCCAAGGTTACCCAACTAATATGTGTCAGAGAATAATATCAGCCTAACTCTTCTAAACTCCATGGCCTGCCTCCTCTATCCATAACTTCACACAATGCTTTCAACAATATATTTCAATACCAAGCTGAAATCCTTTTTCCTCCTTAAAGCCTTCCTAGCTTACCCTGGTCCACCACGTTCTCATCCTTCCTCTGGAATCCCACTACACTAACTTATACCACTCATTAGGCCATTGAACTATACCTTTAAAAATTGCTTGTTCTGTAACAGTGAATACTTATCACTTCTAATATTTAGCTTTTCATGTATTTATGTCTTATTTCTCAAATTAAATGGTGGATTCCTTGAGTACAGGGCCTATATATTTTCCTCTGTATCTATTTTCCTTCGTACCCATCACTCCTTACTCTGACCTTAGAAAAATATGTTGCTCATAGTGAGTGATCACAATAAATATTTATTGATTAAGAAGTTGTTATGTTGGATTCCCGGTGCTTGGCACATAGTAGGTGCTCAACACAGTTTTGCTGACTGATTAACCAAAGTCTATTATATATATCTATGCATTCACTCAGACTCAAAGGCAATTTCTGATTTGTATGCACTAGAATTTCATAATTCCTTACTTATGAGGCAAGACAAAGCATTTCTGAGACCTAGGGAAGGTTTGAAATTGTGCCTTCTATGTCTGCTGATGGCTTTTTGTTATCACTCCAACATGTGAGATGGCTTATTACAAAACAAATATCCGTGTGCCCTAGGAAGTAGAATTTTCTGGTGTAAAACTATATGCATTATATAAAGGAAGATTTAAATGCGTCCTTCATTTTCATTATTCTCTGTGGTACCACTTCTCTCCTATACCTCCAGTCTCAGATCTGCTTACATATAAATGGCAACTTGGGAGTAACTACTGAAAAGCTTCCAGCCACTGCAATTCCCCTTTCCTGCTCAGGATCTCCACTCCCTGCTCTATTCCTTTGTCTCCTTAGCACCAAAGAGCGTGTTGCTGCCTGAGACACTTAACTGATGGTCCTGCTTTTCATTTCTTACCTTGCCCTAGGGCTGATCCAGGGCAGCATCTGCAGGGACAGGCCTGGCATTGGCAATCCCCTTCTTCCTTTCTCTTGTTATTTCTTTATTGCTAATCTTCATTTCATCTCCTCATGCCCCCTGACAGGCCACCAAACAGAAACACTATCTAAGCCTTCATCATAAGGGCCCAGAACCATTTCCTGTGATCACATACCCAGGATAGTCAATAGTGAGACTGGATTATCTCCTGAGATATAGATGTGGTCCTTTATTGAGCCCTCAACTCACTGTATCATGAGGGTACCTCTGTCATTCCCCACAGAAAAAGGAAGTAAAAGTAGAATAGGGGTTTGTATGGAAATGAGATGGGAGATGGACAGAAAAGCAAATAAACCTCTCACTCTCTTTTTTTTTTTTAATAATTTCTAATACTTCAATGGACTTATATGCTGTTATGTACGTGGACATTCTCTCCAGTGGTGTAAATTATAACCTATCCTATACCTGCTCTTTCTATTTAATGCTTGCCCATCTTCTCCTGGAACTCCTACACAAGGGGTTCACCCAGTGGATGGGTGGGTGGTCTTCTAGGTCTCTTGACCAAGGGGGCACAGAGGTTGTTTGCTACATGACTGGTCCACTTCCTTTTCTAGTCATATGTTAATTTGATAATATCATTAAGGATCCTTATTCCATGAAATCTTTCACTGATGATATTCTGCAACTCACTCAAATCTACCATGCATCTCTCCATCCCTTGTTTAGCAACCAGCAGCCCCAAACATTTCTGAGACTAATAATTTGAAGTCATACAACATAACCAGAAGAATATTGATGCTAAAAAGATAGGATTTTGTTTTCAGAAGAAGCTTGGAGTCATTACAAACATAGCACAATTTATAAGAGGTAATCTAGCCCATTTTCTTCCTCCCATTAAGTTTATTATTATTTATAATAGTGATGATGATAACAGCTAGCACTAATATAGCAACTACTAGTACCAGGCACTGTGCTAAGTGCTTTACAATATCATCTCATTTAATCCTCACAACAACCCTGGGAAGTAAGTACTATTATCTCCATTGCACTGTTAAGGAAACTGAAGCAAATAGAGATTAAGTGACTGGTCCAAGGTCACAAAGCTAGTACATGCCTGAGGCCACATTTGAACTCAGGTCTTCCTGACTCCAGACCCAGCACTATACCCACTATGCCACTCACCTGCCTCCTACTTGGTATCCCTTGGCTCTGTTGGTCCAAAACACTGTACTGATGGACCAGCTCTATGTTCCGCCCATCCAGCTGTATATGGAGAACAAGTATTCTGGTTTTTTTTCATTTATAGAATAAAACAAGCATTTCCATAACAGTACAATTTTAAAAAATGATTGCACGTGAAATTACAAATCTACCACACATAACTTGCTATTCCTTTCAAATACACAACAAACTTAACATGTAAATAGAACAGGTATTCTTTAAGTACTTATTTTCTCTAGTGCGGGTATATACATCAAACCATGATTATTGTTTGTTGAATATAAGAAGGCATTTGATGCAGCAGAGGAAAGTGCCACCTTTAGAGGCTCCCCTCCAGCAAAAGCTTTCACATGCTTGTGTTGGCATTGTGGAAGATTCCTCAAAAGATAGAATACCCAAGATGGCTTTGTTGTTGAGTAACCCTATGATGACTAATATTGGGTAAGGTACAAAACAGAGAGACATGTATTAAGAGTGTTTGTACTGCAGAATAAAAGTCAAGTAAAGATGCCTTATAGATGCCTACTGTCGGTCCTAGAAGAGGACGAGTGACATCACTAGGGTGATTTCTTGACTTGCACATCAATTGGATTTGAGTGAGGCAGAGCTGTTTAAAGTCATCAGCCTCACTCTCTCCTCCAGAGTCATCATAGTCCAGAGGCAAGGCAAAGGTTAAGATGACTGGTGATGGCCCAGGATGCAGTGGAACAACCTTGGCCTTTCCAAATTAAGGTCTTTCCCTGAAAGTTTGTCTGAAGCTATGCCCATTCAGTGAGGAAGGGCTAGGTAAGAATTGAGATAAAAGATGGCCCAATTTACCATCACAAAACCCCTCCCAATATGGGAGGGGAAGACCCTCAGAGATTCTGGCCAGAACAGAAAACAGCTGCTATTTACACTCATTCAAGCCACCAAAATGGCCCCTACAGGGGCCTGAGCTGGGGCTATTATTGGCCATTCAATGAAAGCCAGAGTGATTTGGGTTTAAAGACTTAGTCAAGTGGCTCCATTTAAAACACAATGGGCTTTTTTTAGAAGCCTGTGGAGATGGTCCTCCAGATGCTCTTCCCTGAAGATGGCATCGTGCTGATTACATCAGGCTCCGGGACCTTGCCGAGTCTTCTGGACCAGACCCAAGGTCATTTCTGGTCAGGGAGCAAAGCAAAGCAAATGTGGCTGGCAGATGTAATTCTGCTAAAATTTTAGGAAAACTTTGAAAAAGCTTGTGACTCCTGCTGGGAAATATATGTGAAAATCTATGAATCTACACATTTCTGTTCTATAATAGGCCAGGGAAGGAGAGAAATCCTGGTGACATGATGATGATGATGATGATGACATATCTAGCATTTATACAGATCTTCAAAGTTTGCAAAGCACTACAAATATTTCACTTGATCCTTACAACAATCTGGGAGGTAGGTGCTATTCTTATTCTCATTTTACAGATGAGGAAGCTGAGTAGACAGAGGTTAAGTAACTTGCCCTGGCTCACACAGCTAGGAAGTATCTGAGGCTAGATTTGAAATCAGGAAATCTTTCCAACTCCAGGCCTAGTGCTCTATCTGCTTCACTACTTACCTGAATAGGTGGGACAAATGGTGGAAGCAGAAAGAGAATCAGACGGATCAATCTCTCAAAGAAGAAAAAAAAAAGGGAGAGTGGGAAGCCAACCAGGGATCGAGGCATATAGCATTGATTTACACCACCAGGAGGCCTACAAATCCCACAGCTTCCTGATTATCTGAAGCTCCAGTTCCTACCCTTCATTCCCCTTATCCTCAATTCCAATGGAATCCTTTCCTTAGATTATGAAAGCTACCATCAGGGTTCTCTCATTCTCCCTATGCAATACTCCCTTCCCACCGTGTATCAAGTTGGAATAGGGACAAGAGTGAAAGAAAAGCCTCATGTAAAAGAAAAGACTACTGGCTTTAAGAATGAGAAGAATTTGGTTTTAGTCCTGGCTCGGACACTAATAATTACATGACCTTGAGCAAGTCCTTTATCTGGCCCTCAATTTCATTTACCTCTAAAATAGTGATGATGGGTTAAAACAATCTTTTAAGATCCCTTTCTATGCTAGCATTTTACAGTTTGTTCTGTATAAAAAGTGAATCAAGTGAATTCAAGTGAACAAATATTCATTAAGTATTGACTGGTGCCAGACACTATACTAATGACTGAGGATACAAAGAAGGGCCAAAAATAGTCACTGTCTTCAGAGAGCTCACAGTCTGATGGGAGAGACAACATGAAAACAAGTATATATTTATGAGATATTCACAGGGTAAAGTGGGAGGTAATTTCTGAGGGAAGGCTATAGGGGACTAAAGAAGGTGAGCCTTGAAGAAAGCTAGGGAAGTCTGGAGGCAGAGTCTAGGAGGAGAGCATTCCAGACAGAGGGGACAGCCAATTAAAAGGCACAGAACTGTGAGAGGGGGTGTTCTGTTTGAAATTAAACAGGAAGGTCAGTATCCCTGGATTGCAGAGTACATGGATCAGGCAGCTAGGTGGCAGAGTAAATAGGCAGCTGGGCACATAGTCAGGGAGACTCATCTTCTGATGAGTCTGGCCTCAGATACTTACTAGTTGTGTGACCCTGGGCAAGTCACGTAACCCTTTTTGCCTCAGTTTCCTCATCTGTAAAATGAGCTAGAGAAGGAAATGGCAAACCACTCCAGTATCTCTGAAAAGCAAGCCCTAAATGGTGTCAGAGAGAGTCAGCCCCCGACTGAAAAATGACTTCACAACAACAGAGTATATGGATGGGGAAAAGATTGGAAAGGTAGGAAGCAGACAGATTTGTGAAAAGTCATAAAAACCAAACAAAGGATTTCATATTTGATCCTAAAGGTATTAAGTTGCAAATGAAGTTTATTTAGTACAGGGTGGGTAGTGACACAGTGAGATCTGCATTTTAGGAAGATTAATTTGGCAGCTTAGTGGAGGACAGACTGGAAATGGTAGACACTGGAAACAAGCAGACCCACCTGCAGGCTATTGCACGAGTCCAGGCATGAGGTGATGAGAACCTGTATTAGGATGACGATGGCATTAGACAGGAAAACAGAGTATATAGGAAAGATGTTGCAAAGACATGGCAAGACTTGTCAATAAATTGGATATGAGAGGTGAGGGAGAGTAAGGACTCTCCAAGCAATAAGGAAATGGGATGATGGCAGGACCCTTGATAGTTATCTGGAAGCACAGAAGAGGGGAGGATTAAGTGTATAGAACCAGAGAATAAGTGAACAGGGATTTAAGGAAAGAGAAATACAAATTTAGGGAATGGAGAAAACAAATGAGAACACACAACAAAGGGGAAACTTGAAAAGAAGATGAAACAGGAATGGGAGAATATGGCAGAGTCAGATGTTAGGTGTCCAACCCTCCACAAAAGCATTTAACTCCACCTCAACCTGACCTTTTAGCTAATGGATTGGGTCAGTGCCATATTATTTCTCTCTATTACCTTCCTCCCCTTACTGGTCTCTCTGCTCTGTGTCCTGGCACTCTGAAACTTTTCCTTTCCCCCTCCAAGGAGGTAGGCTATTTCTGGATAAGAAATTAATGTATTAGTTAACCATTAATCATTATAGCTCTAGCATACTTGGAATGGGAAATCTGCACATGTCTCATAGAACTTGTTGCTGAATTTTCTTTCCTCCCCCAAGGCATAACTGAAATTGTCAGAACACGAGTAAATATGATCTTGGCAAAAGGTTTCTATAATTGAGTATATTACTTCCTAATTTTCCCTCCTCTCCCTGCCCTCTGCTATGTCAAGTAAAATGCTCTGTTTTTCATCACGTAGACTTTCAAAATAGAGAAATAATATCTGATGATTCTTTCTCTTTCAGCTTTGAGTATTCATTTAACTTAACCCAAATAAAAGAAGTCTTGATCATAATCACTATCAGACACACAACTAAAACAAACAAAATAACTGCTATCCTCCTCCTCCCTCCCCCCCACCCCGATTTTTTTTTTCTCAGCAGCTTCCTCATTTTACAAGTTCCTCCAAACCCTGTGGGCTGGTGGAGGGGTCAAAGAAGGAAAAAGCAAGATGTATTTAAATAGATTTTACAGACTCTAAAGCTATGCCTTTACAGGAAGGTCAGCCAGAAAGCTCTCATTTCAATAATGTGATCTTTAAGTTCAGCTGTACACTGTAGTTATTGCATCTGCCTGCCCTTGGTGACTGGCTAAAGCTGACAGAAGACAGAGACTAATGTCTTTTTCACATATGAAAGAAATTAGGCCCCAAGATACTTGTTTCCTAAAATTCTATAGCTCCTCAGATGGTGTAAGGACATAGAACAGGTGAGGAAACATACTTGAGGCTCTGAATTTTAACTTCTTCCAAGAATAAGAGTGGAAAGCTTACATGGGATGGGAGCACTGAATGTTTTCAACACACAAAACCAAGTTGATAATAATAACAATGATGATAATAATGATGCCTAGTATTGATATATCACTTTAAGCTTTGTAAAGTGCTTCATAATCTCATTTTATCCTCACAACAACCCTGGGAGGTAGGTATTATTATCCTCATTTACAGATGGGGGAACTGAGGCAGGCTTTAGTTAAGTGACTTGCCCAGGGTCACACAGCTAGTAAGTGTCTGAGGCCATATTTGAACTCAGGTCTTCCTGATTCCAAGTCCATTGTTTTACCCACTGCTGCCAACCAATGTGTTCCATGCATCTTTCGAATGGGGTCAGCGAAAAAACTACAAGGATGTAAGCCACTGACCCCAATGTCTCCTTGCTTCCCAGGGATACTGAATTCTTCCTTACTATAGTCAACCATAAGGGCCTGTGGGCAGGACTTGAGGTGGGATGGAATGGTGCTCTGGTTACCTATCATGAGTTTGCAGAATAACAAAGCAGGAAGGCTCCTTAGGGGTTGTCTAGCTCAACCTGTACCTGGCTGAGAATTTCCCTCTACAATAACTACAAGACCTAATCCACTCTTCTCTAGTCAGGGGCAACCTACTACCTCCTGAAGCAACTCATTCTTCTTTTGGACAGCTCTGATTGTTACTTGACATCAAGCCTTCATCTATATCTTTACAACATTCACCAAGTTCTCCTAGGCGGCCCTTTCCACCCTCTGGGATGAAAAAGATAAAAAAAAGATAAACCCTGCTTCCACATAAGAGTCCTTCATTTAGTTTTATGTCCTTTTTTCTCAGTCATTAAAAGGGAGTTCTGAGACCCGAAGCTTATCAGGGTAGTTTGATGAAGCACATACGTAGCATGCTCTCCTACTCGGCATCTGTTGGGACCACTGTCAGACAGTGAACTTGGGGTCAAGTGTGAAAAGAGAGAAGCCATTCTTAAACAGCCTCCTCAGGTCTTCCCTCCCCCCCAGCCAAGTCTCTACTCCTTTTTCTCTCCAATTCACCTCTAGGGCACAGATTAATAATAAGTCATATTTATATAGTGTTTACACACATCATCTCTTTTGATCTTCATAACAACCTTGGGAGGCAGACAGCATAAACATTATGCCTGAAAATTCCACTCTCTGAGGCATATAGGAATTTAATTTGTGGCAAGTCAAGTCACATGGGTTAAGAATGAAACCCCAAACCCAAGAAGAAGCACAGTTTTTATAACTTGCTTAGGTCTCACAGGGTAGATAGAATGCTGGCTGTGGCATCAGGAATATCTGACTTCAAATTCTGCTTCATAGACTTTGCTAGCTGTGTGACTGGGCAAGTTACAACCTCTCTGAGCCTCAGTTTCCTCATCTGAAAATTGAGAAGATTGGCCTCAATGACCTCTAAGTCACTTCCAAATCTAAATCTATGATCCTATGACTCTTTTCCTGGCTTGATATGTAAAGAATCATGTAAATCTAGCATATGTTAGTCTGGAATTGGCTAAGGGATTATGAATGTGTATGTATGTATATTTTGTGTACGATGTGCAAAACATACAGTGTATCAATCAACACAGATGGCTAAGCATCTGCCATGGGCAAAATATTGTACTATGCTCACAAGAAAAGGGTAAGTGAGTAACAGATACAAAATATAAAACATGGTCTCTATGATCAAGGAGTCTATCATTTAGTTTTAGAAATAAAACACAAATTCACAAAGGTTAAATTAATATCATTAGAACTGATTATTATCTTATGTGATATTGACTGTAGCTTCACAGCATTTGAGTGGTTTCTTTCTGGCTGCTTGAAGTATTTTCTCTTTGACCTGGGACCTCTGGAATTTGGTCCCTGCTACCTTGGGGCCATAATTACTAGTGCTCCTCTTCACCCTGGAACTATGATCTGGAAATGCATATAGGCAATGCAACAGGGTCCTGAACCCAGTACCTGCAAAAGGTCCCCTGTAATCTCTTTCTGATTAGACATATGATCCCCTAACTATCTTGTCCTGAGAGTTCTTGAAGCTGCTGCTGCCCTGCTGCAGCAGTTGCCCCCAAGGCCTGGTGCAGGCAAGCCACCATCCTGGTATCACAGACCTCTCCTGCGGACATCCCATTTGGGCTGGAAACATTGTTGTTGGATCTTCCACTCCAGAATCCAATTTGAGGTGTTATTTCTTTCCTTTCTTTTTTTTAAAATTTATTTATTTTTAGTTTTCAACATTAATTTCCATAAGCTTTTGAGTTCAAATTTTCTCCCCCTTCTTTCCTGCCTCCCTCATGCAATCTGATACAGGCTCTACATATACATTCCTACTAAACATATTTTCACATTAGTCGTGTTGTAAAGAAGAATGAGAGAGAGAGAGAGAGAGAGAGAGAGAGAGAGAGAGAGAGAGAGAGAGAGAGAGAGCGTGCAAATAGCATGCTTTGATCTGCATTCAGATTCCATAGTTCTTTTTCTGGATGTAGATAGCATTTTCTATTATGACTGAGAAGAGTCAATTCTATCAAAGTTAATCATTGCACGATGTGGCTGTTCCTGTATACAATGTTCTCCTGGTTCTGCTCATTTCACTCAGCATCAGTCCATACGAGTCTTTCCAAGTTTTTCTGAAGTTCGCCTGCTCATCATTTCTTATAGCACAATAGTACTCCACTACATTCATATTCCACAGCTTGTTCAGCCATTCCCCAATGGATGAGCATCCCCTCAATTTCCGTTATTACAAAGCATCAATCATCAAAACTATTTGGTACTGGCTAAGAAGTAGAGTAGTGGATGAATGGAATAGGTTAGGTACAGATGACACAGTAGGCAATGACTATAGTAATCTACTGTTTGATAAACCCAAACACTCCAGCTTCTGGGATAAGAACTCACTATTTGACAAAAACTGCTGGGAAAACTGGAAAATAGCGTGGCAGAAACTGGGCATAGACCAACATCCTGAGGCATTATTTTAAAGTTGTTTAGAGGGAATGTTGGACGAGTTCAGCTGAGTTGCTGCCTATATTCTGCCACCTTGGCTTCTTCCTCAATTATATACTTTTTAAAAGACAATTTGTACGTAACAGAAATTCAGTTTTTAGATACTTCTTTCACATATGTATTCTTTGTACTTTTTATATAGAAATATTCATCTTGATATTTGACAAGTTTATAATAAAATTTTTTAAAAAGAAATGGGGACACTAATGTGGCTAAACTCTGAGAAGCCCAGTTACAATACATGCCCCAACTTCCTTTCCTCTCACTCTCTTAACTCTGTAGTCTGGCTTCTGACTTTATCATTCAACCAAAATGGCACTTTCCAAAGTTACTATTTCTTGGTGGCCAAATCCAATAGTTTTTTTCTCCATCTCCATCCTTCTTGACCTCTCTGCAGTCTTTGACACTATCGATTACCCTCTGCTCCTTGATGTTTTCCTTTCTTTGGGTTTTTGTGACACACTCCTGATTCTCCTCCTACTTATCTGATCACTCCCTCGCAGTCTCTTTTGCTGGATCTTCATTTGTGTCAGGCCCACTAACCTGGGGTGTCCCATAGAGCCTTGTCCTGGACCTCTTCTCTTTTCCATCTATACTATTTCACTTGGTGATTTCATCAGCTCCCAAAGAGTCCATTATATTG